AGAGAGAATTAGAAAGGCGAGCGCAAATTATTGTCTCTCATAACTGTATATTATCTTAACTATTTCTTATTTCAATTAATATTATTGATTTTTTATTTTTTTTAGGTATTTTGATCCTGATCCTTTGTTGTTAGCTGATGAAGCGAATACTTCTATGAATCCAAAATTTCATGATTTAAATAGATCAATTGTGCAATTGGTAAATTTTAATAGATTTCTCAATATAACAATAAATAATGCATTTTATATATTTATAAATTTGTAATATCCTGATTTATTTGTAGATTGATGATTTTAACATGGTTAGTTTTCTTCCGCTAAATATAAATGACGAAGATTCTATAACTGCCGTGTTATCTCACGTGGATAATGCGTTACAATTTAGTGAGGATCAAGAACCTAAAGAGCCTAAGGTACATTATATATAATTATCATTAATCAGCCAATATTTGATCAGAAATTAACAAATTTAACAATTTTACTAATTTTAGGATGAATTTGATATTGAATATGACTAGCTCTGTGCGTGTCAATTCACATCATATTTATGTATTGAAACAAAATATTATGAATTTATAATATAAATAGTATAATTGGCACTTAGGTCAAATTTGCTTATACAATATCATAATTTGATAATACAGTATTATGAAAATAATTAGTATTTTGTTCTTTGTTGCATTTGTTAGATTAATAAATCATTGCCCACTCTACTAGAATGTAACTCTGTAACATTGTATAGTCATGAAATCTTAGATTAATTCTAAACCATATATGAAAAAATGACGCAAGTCAATTAATAATCGACGTAAATTGAGAAGTACTGTACCACAGTACAACTACACCTACTTATTTAATATATGGATTAGGTGCTGGAAAAAGCCCAAATTGACAATTATTTCCAAAGAAATATTTTTACATAACCATTTTTGGAGTAAGGTTGGAATTACTTTTCACTTAAAACATGAAGGCAGTTGTATTAATAAAATTTTGCAGTATACGTAGCTCTTTTAAAGTTTGCATTTTCTTATGATTTATTAAAGATTTATAACATAAATTTCAAACCTCTTATATATTAGTAAAAATTTCGTAAACAAGTATTAGAAAGGGAGAACTGTATCTAAACTTTAGACAAATAATGATAAATTGCAATTACATCTTGTTTAAATCAATTATACAATAAAGCATTTTTCGACAGCTAAAACAGGTTCCTCGACGAAATGTTAGTCTTGTTTCTTGGGCATCCGCCATTTGAATTATATGCAGTAAGAAATTAATAAATCTATATCGATCAATATGTAAAAAAAACAGATAAATATATTGATCGTTACAATATTAAAAACTAAGCAAGCCCATATAGTTTTTATAATTACTAATTACGAAACTAAGTTATATAATATGATATCATAGTATAATTATATATGGACTCTTAAATTAGATTTTATGTCTGCTAAGAATCATGAGGCTACATCTTTTTGCAAATGTTTTCAATCCTTAATTACAGTCGGCATATTTATGATAAGTAAACTTTTAGCTTTTCATCTTTCGGAATTATGAAGGTGATTCGATTGCATGACAAAATGATCAGATAAAATGATGAACGAGTATTGGTCACGAGTCATTTTTAAATGACCCAAAGATTAGATGTTCAAATTACTAGTAAATTAGCAAATAACATAGACCCTGGTTCGATTATAGGCAACTATATATACGTACAATAAAACCATGGTCACTAATATTAAGAATGAAACTTGACTCTATAACGAACTTAAGAATGAAAGGAAAATAAGTAAAAGTAAGAAACTGGAAAATTTTTTAAAATAACCGTCTGTGTGTATGGACGTTTGAACTTAGAGTTAAGAAAAAAATATTGTAGCAAAACACATTGTGTAGGCAAAAGAAAGGCAGTAATATGAGTATTTGATCTTTCATTGGATAATATGGGTCGGTGCTTGTTATTGTTGACGCGTTGATCACCAATAATGATGATCAGGTGTAACGTGATAGTCGTGTTTACCGAATTTTTGTTTTTTGTTCTCACACTTAGTTCTATACTTCATGATGTGATGTCCAGCTTTTTACATCTCCCTGTTTCAAGGTCTACTGATTCTATATAAGGCAATGCTGTTCACTGAAATGTTCCGGTGGAAATTGGACGGCCATTGGACCTGTTCCAGTGAAGATTTTTATTGGCTGGATAGAACTTCCAGTGACTTCCAATGAAAAAAACAGTACATGCGATTTTAATTTGTATAATATACATATCTATTTGATATATATGTTGTATGTTGGAATGGAATCCCGATAGATTTAGAATCTACTTAAGTTGATTCCAAATAAACATAAGTTACAATAGAATTCCAAATCATGTTCAAGTTGTTAAAGGATTCAAAATTAATTTAAATTTAAATTTAATAAATTCTAAATAATTTTAACAAGTATGTTATTTTAGAATTTAAGTAGATTTAGAATTTATTTAAAAAGCATTTTGTATTGCAAATTACTGCTCAATACTACTAATATTACATAGTATTTTTACATCAATAATTGCTAGGATGACAGCTACTACCACACGGTATATTTGCCTTTTTACATTTACAGAAATTTTTTTCACAAGTATTTTTGCAATTACATTTTAAATTACTATTTCTGATGCAGATTGTGCCAATGCTGCTTCATGAACACTTATAAAAGTTGAAGGAATATTATTTAATTCTGAAAAGTCACTAGGACCCAAAGGAAGTAGTTCAGTAGCATTGTAGGTAATTTGAATAATGCCCGATTTACATTCAATCTTGTAAGTATTGTCTTGCAAAACTTCAAGAACTTTACACAGTAATGTCTTTCGATCACTGTGTGTTTTGTCAATTTCAGAAATTTTGAGATGAACAAAATCTCTAACGTTATATTTGTCTGCAAATTTTTTATTGTACTTGATTAACTGTGATTTCATATTATCATTATATCTCTTAAGAGATTTTGTAGCTATACCTCGGTAGATTTCATGTGCTGCTGTTTGTTGAATATTAGTTTTGTTTTGAAAAATATGTTGAGAATTACGTTTATCTAAAACAGACTACAAAAAAATAAATAAACCTGAGATTCTAGGATAGCAATTATATAATGTATTTAAAATAAATTGTAATTAAATATCTGAATTTTAGATGTATTCTTTAATAATAATTCGTTGGCTTCAAGTAATTCCATCTGTTTAATAAATTTTATTAAAAATTATTTAATTAGATAAAAAGATTAATTTACATTTCAATTCTTTTCATTTACAATTTCTTTAACCTACTTCTTCATCCATTATTTTATCTACCTCTTCACTCATAATTTTATCTACTTCTTTATTCATCATTTCATTCATCTTTTTGGTTACACTTTTGCTTATCCTTTTGCTTACCCCTTCATCTACCTTATGTTTTATTTTTTTGTTCACACTTTTATTTACTTGTTTATTTGCTTTATTTTTGTCTATTCTTTTTCTTTTATCTACTACTCTATTTATTGTTTTCCTTGCTTTTTCATTTGTCCTTTTGTTTACTTTTTCATTTATTTTTTCATTTATCTTTTTACTTATATTTTCATTTACTGTTTTGTTTATATTTTCATTCATTCATTCATTTGCTTTTTCGTTTACTCTTTTGTTTATCTCTTCATTCACCCTTTTATTTACTTCTTCATTCACCATTTCATTCACTTTCTTACTTGTCTCTTCATTTACTTTTTCATTTGTTTTTTCATTTGCTCTTTTATTTATTCTTTCGTTTGCCTTTCTATTAACTCTTTTTTCATTTACATTTTCGGTTGCCTTTTTTTTGGCCTTTTTATCCATGTTTTCATTCACCCTTTTGTTCGTATTTTCATTTATTCTTTTATCCATTATTTCATTTACCATTTCAACTACTTCTCTTTCATTTGTTATTTCATTCACATCCATTATCTCATTTACATCCGCTATTTCATTTATATTTGCTATTTTGTCTACATCTATTATTTCAGTTATATCTACTATTTCATCTACTATTTCATTCACACTTCTATTATTTATCTTTTCATCTTCATTTTCTGATTCTTTATTAATCATATTCAATAACTCTCGCTCCTAAGTATAACAATAATAATAAGGTAAATAAATTAAATAATTAATTTATATATTTAAAATCAATAGCAATATTGTTATATGTATGTATGTACCTCAGTATTTAAAGCTGCAGCCCCTAACAATGATTCTACAATTTCTTGTTGATTTATATTATCGTGAGGTTCAAGTTGTTCAAACCAATTTTCAGGTAGTTTGTCTTCAGAATTAATATGCTATTCCTTAATTTCTTTTAATAAGTAAAAATGATGCAGAAGATTTTGTCCAAATACCAATACATATGGACTACTTTTAGTTTGCTGGGATAATTGTACATTCATCACATCTGTTAAAAATATCAATTGAATTAAATAAATAAATAAAATAAAATAAAATAAAATATAATAAATAAATAAATAAATAAAGCTTACAACAACACAATGGTACAGTGTGAGACCAATTAGTTCTTTTTGTATCTTCCATCTATTTTGATATTTTTTGTTGAAAAATATCATTTGCTCATTTCACTAACTTTTGACTCTGCGGGTGTCTTGGATGCCCATTAATAATATGAACATCTGGCCATATAGTCAATAATTCATGAATTATTTCTGCTGTAAATTCTTGACCATTATTGGATTAAAGAATGATTAGGGCACCAAAGCAAACAAATATATCAAAAAGAAAGATAGCCACTTCAATTGGCTATTTGCTAGTTAGAGCCCGGGCCCAAGAATATTTTGTAAAATGATCCCGTATGTGATATATATAACAATAGTCTCCATCGGGAATGCTAGTCATAGAAATTAAATCAATTTGAACCCTATTAAGGAAGGCATTAGAAATGATTGGCTTTGCAGCAACTGGATTTGGAAAACTTTTTGTTGCACATGTTGTGCAATTTTTTACAAATTCCTTAACAAATGATTGTGGAATATAACAACATTGCTCAGAAACCTATAAAAAAGAATTAATATAGTATTAACTCATCTCATTATTATAACTTATAAGTGATATTAAAAAAAGCCTGTAATAGTTATTTCAAATTTTCTTTTACCTTTTCAAATATAAATTTGAAAATAAAAATAATTATTATATTTTTTTTTAATGTCGCTCATATATATAACGATAAAATTATTTTTTTTCATTATATATACCGCTTCCTAGAGTTTTGATGCACCAATATGTTTTAAGACTCCTTAATGTAGGCTACACAACATGTTGTATATCTTGTCAACAGGGCATATCGGCAAATTTGATTCTACTTTAATAAGTTGAATAATAGGATTTGCTGGTGTTCCAAGATTACGTATTGCAAATGTTTTTTTTGCCCAGTGACGATCTTTAGCGGTTTCGATTTTTGTGTTTGTTGGATCTTGTAAAATTTTAATGCAAAAATCGAAATCTTCACATGTAATAAAAGTTTTATGCCGTCTATTATCTGACTTACTGTTAAGATATTTAATAAGTAAGTTATCAAATACACTACGAGACAAGAATGGATAGTTTTGAGGTTCAACCATTGTATTTTAAGTTACTTAAAAGCAACTAAAAAGAGTAAGTTACTAAATAGAGTAACAAAAGCGAATATGTAAAAGAGAATTTTATATAAATTGATAAAAACAAATCATATGATTTAAGTTATTTAACTTTATACTAATGCTGTAATGACATCAATTAATTACATTACATATTCAGCATGTTCAAATCAATTTAGAATCGACTTAAGTTAAATTTGGATTTCATAGCAACTTGATCTATATTTGGAATTTAGTTTCAACTTAAGTAGATTCTAAATCTATCAGAATTCCATTCCAACGTACAACATAAATAAATTTGGAGGCCATAAAATGCTATGGATTTGGTTTAGCTTCAATTAATGAAGATTCTTTGGATTAATAAGATCTTTAGATTTGTTGACAAATTTATAAAAATAAAGATTGAAATTAAATAAGGTATATCTTAGTAGTATCTTGAATTTAAATAAATATATTTTAAATCCATCGATTATTAATAAAAGTTTTTTATATTTCAAATACATCGATTGACATAAGATTTTTATTAGCATAATTAAATTGAATAATGATTATTGTTATGAATTTGAATAGATTATTTAAACACATTGATTAATGAAATGTTTTTACACTCATCAGTTAAAAATTAGCACGAATAAAAACACGAATAAAATGAAATTGAACTTCATGGTACTGTTAGACCAGGGCCCCTAGAAAATTTCGAAAAGATTAGAAAACAATAAATCGCAATTTTTACTGGATATCGCATTATAAA